CAAGGACGCGGGAGGGGAGCCGCCTCTCGCCGCGAGAACAGGGGATTTCGGTTAACAGCCGAACGCGCTGCCGATTGCGCCACAGAAGCCATGGCTCGTGGCGGGGGGAGAGTATAGGGGAAGGACAAGGCAGTCAGCAGTCCGCGGGATCCTTTCCTAATGCGAGCTCGCTTAGAACGTTACGATCCAAAGATCCTATTTTTTAGGCTTTAGAAACCTTCTAAAGTTAATTCAGGACTTTCAGATTGAACAAAGCTGTTTGCTTTATTTAATGGAGCGTATTTTGCGTATTTGCGTTTTTACGTAACATAACCAATTTCCATAAGTTAATAAAATTTATTTCTATTTATTCATTCTTTTTCTTCTTGTCTGTCGTCTTCGAGCAGCCGTTTCCGCACACCAATGACTTCACTTTTCGTGTTGTACAGCGGACGCATTTGTAGAGCAAGAAAAACACGAGGAAGAGCACGGTAGACAGGAACAAGATGACGTCCAACGAGTGGTAGACGAACCAGTTCAAGTTGGTCCCATACGGCACCAGATTTTCGAATTCCTATGCAAAAAAAATATAAATGTTTCGTGAATTTACCTTGAATTCTGCGAGGAACGTGGTCCACTTGAGGAGCAGCTCCTCTGGCTTGATCGGCTTCTTCTTGACCATCTCCGAGATGCGCTTGGCCACGTTGTTGTACCTAATTTATTATTTTTATTCATTTATTTATTTTTGTACCTAAAAACGTGATGAAAATAGCTGAAAGCTTGGAGAGATTTTTTTGTAAAATTTGGCTTACTTTTCATTCTCCAACAATTCCTTGAGTGCGGCAACGACCGTCTCGGTGCAGAGTCCCGTTTTTCGGACGTTCACGCCAAAGCCTGGAAATTTTAATTGGCTTTGAATTACTGTATACTAGTTTACGAGCAAAATAATATTCTCTGCTAAATTAAGTGATTTAAAAATAATAAACTGTAAAACTAACCGAGCTGCTGAGCCATTTTGGCATTTTTCGGCTGATCTCCGAAAAGTGGAATTGTCATAATTGGCTGACCGCTGTTGAGGGCTTCCTCAAAATTGCTATAAGCTACCGTAATTTAGTGTTTCCGGAGTAATTCGATTTTGCGGAGCAGATTGAATCCAATTAAAAATATTTTCCTGATTTCGCAGACATTTAGTTAAACTTTGCTTTTTCGCGTTTTTCTTACCTGCACACTGTTATAGCCACCGTGCGAGATGAAGCCTCGAGTCTTGGGGTGTTCTAAAAATACCATCAATTCTCGGTAATTTTTCCTACTCAACAAATCCGACTGCGGCAGCCACTTGTGCAGGTGGACGTTCTTCGGGCGGAACTTCTCCATATCATCTCCCTCGTACCGCAAAATGAATTGGTAGTCGGGGAATTGGGAGAATGCGGCCATCATTGAGGCCTAAAAACCAGTGTTATCCTAATTAGAATAAAGGTATAGATAAAATTAACTAAAAAAGCGGCGTTAATTTACCTTCCAGTCCTCGGGCATCAGCTCCATCCTGGTAACCGAGCCAAAAGTGAAAACGACAACTCCCTTTTTCGCGGAATCGACGATCGTTTGGAAGTTCTAAATATGATAGAGGTATTAATTAACTTCTAAATACCTTTTCCAACGGTTTCGCATCCTCGAATCGCATCCCCAGACCGCCAATGTTGACGATTTTGTGAAGGGTAGGGCGGGCCATTTCGTAGAGCTCATTTGAGTTAACCATTACCAAGGGACACTGTAAAATAGACATTTCTTAGTCAGCTATTTATTGAAACATTTTCAATTATTTACTCGGCTAGTCGTAGCAATTCAAAAGCGTTTTTCGCTTGTAAACCGAGCCCTTTTTATAGTTTTTCTAATTTTTCATAACTTTAAAACTTTATAGTTTTTACCTCCTTCGACAGCTCCCAAAGATCCGGGAAATCCGGTGAGATATGCCTCCGGAAGACTTCGGTTTCGGATGCTGGTACCAGTCTGGAATTTGCAAAATATTTCAACTGAGTTTGGCAAACCTCGGGAAAATGGTTCTGAACAACCAGATGCCGATGAAGCTCTTCGTTCGTTCGACAAAGCTCATCGCCGAGTGCGACTCCATCATCATAGCTGAAACAGGGTGATAGACGAGATTTTTATGCTTATTAATTCGAGAAAAAGCCCGAACTTACGCGGAACGTAGCTAGGAATGATTGGAACGCCCATCCGGTCGGCTACCCAGTCCATAAGTTGGCCAGAGTTTAGCCAAACCCAGGCTTTGGCCTAAAAAAAATGCCTTTTTCAAATGCTTTTGTCGTTTTAAAGTCTGGAAAATGTCGGATAAGGTGCCTTAGAAATGTAGATGACTTACCCCAACAGCGTGGTTCAGACCGATTCCGCAGAAATCGTACATGTGTGTGTAGACAACGTCGAATTTCTCATCGGTCATCCATTTCAAGAAGTCTTTGTTGACAATAAGTTCTGAAAACAAGGAATTAGTGAGAGGGGTGAGAGAGAGTGAGAGAGAGATAGAGAGAGGGAGAGAGAGACAAAAAACAAGCTCAGACATCAAAAAACCAACTTTCACAATAACCACTCATGACCATGGTCATCTTCCTCATCATGTCCCGCATCCTCGGGTCCCAAATCGGGACATCTTGGTAGATCATTTGCGCTTGTTCCTTCTCCCATTCATCTACGCTCATCCCATCGACAATGGCGTCCACGCGGTGTACTAAAAAGATAATAGGTAAACCAATTGTTTAAATTAATGTATTAATTATCTAGCGTTCGGAGGGCAACACTTTAGAACAAAAAAAAAATCGTTTTAACGCTTTTTAAAGGTCCTGCGCGAGCTGGTCGTCATTATACCCCCGAAAAATACCTGGAATGGATACTATCTCAAGCAAAAACACCACAAATAAAAATCACCTGTAATTCTGGGATCAATGTCGACCTTCGGCTTCTTCTTGTCGAACGGCCGCACCATAATTAACGTAACCGAGTGGTTACCTTGCAGAAGCGTCTCTGCTACCCGTTTGTTAAATATAACCTAATCCGAATTTTTTGCGGGAATTTTCAGCCCCACCTGGCTATTGGAAAGATCCAACATAAAGATGGCTAATTTCGATGCATAGGCGGTGGACAGAAGGCACAGCAGAGGTAGAAGTAACCGCATTTTTGGACTGAAAGGCAACCCTTCACTTGAAGGAAGTATCAGAATGGAGTCGAGAAAAGAAGGAAAACAATTCGGCTAGCAGAGGGCATAAATTCGGACCAGCACAAACCCCGCAATCTTCGAACTGATAAGGGAAGAGGCCGGAGGGTAGAGAAAGTAGAGGTGCAGTATTAAATCTAAGATAACATCTAGATAAATCTAAACCTAAGCCCCGCCCCCTACCCAATTGGAATTTGCTCTTTTTTCGACAGTTTTTGATACTCCTTTATTTTTTCGCTTCTAGGTATTGTTAATACCTTTAGGGTTCTTGTGTTCTCTCGTGTATCGCTGTCTCGAAGGAAAAAATATCCTTTTTTATTCCTTGTATTGTAGCGCGTATTTTACATGTATTTGTATGTACAAACAACCGGATATCATAATTTAATAGAAATTTATTTATATTTATTCATTCTTTTGCTTCTTGTCTGTCGTCTTTGAGCACCCGTTCCCGCACACCAATGACTTGACTTTCCGTGTTGTACAGCGGACGCATTTGTAGAGCAAGAAAAAAGACGAGGAAGAGCACGGTAGACAGGAACAAGATGACGTCCAAAGAGTGGTAGACGAACCAGTTCAAGTTTGTACCGTAGGGGACCAGGTTTTCGAATTCCTAAAGGTAAAGATTAGATATTTTTGCTTAAAATCACCTTGAATTCGGCCAGGAACGTGGTCCACTTGAGCAACAGCTCCTCTGGCTTGATCGGCTTCTTCTTGACCATCCCGGAGATGCGTTTGGCGACGTTATTGTATCTAAAAAAATTAGTGAAAAGATGATACCTTAAATGTTGTATTAAGCGCACAAATCGGCGTTTTACTTATTCTTTAGGGTAGAATTAAGCTCACTTTTCATTCTCCAACATTTCTTTCAGAGCGGCAACGACCGTCTCGGTACAAAGTCCCGTTTTTCGCACGTTAACGCCAAAACCTGTAATTTTGAAGGTTCATCAAAGTTTCAGTTATAATTGCTTTCCATTAGGGATTAAAATTCAAAAATCACTAACCGAGCTGCTGGGCCATCTTGGCATTTCTAGGTTGATCTCCAAAGAGTGGAATTGTCATAATGGGCTGGCCGCTGTTTAGAGCTTCCTGAAAGTTGCTGTAAGCTACCGTAATTTAGTGTTTTCGGAGTAATTGGCTTTTGCGGAGCAGATTAAATATAATTAAAAATATTCTTCTGATCTATTTTAATTTAAAAAATATTTTAATGTCATCAAAAACATCAATGATTTGTTTTTCGGTTAGTTGCCAGGATTCCCCTTACCTGCACACTGTTGTAGCCGCCGTGCGAGATGAAACCACGCGTTTTAGGATGCTCTAAAAATATGTAAAAATCTATTTAAATTTTCCTACTCAACAAATCCGATTGAGGCAGCCACTTGCTAAGGTGAACGTTTTTCGGGCGGATCTGCTCCAGATCCTCCCCTTCATATCTGAGAATGAATTGGTGGTCGGGGAATTGGGCGAAAGCTGCCATCATGGACGCCTAAATTCGACACGCTATTATCTAACCATTCTGAAAAGTATTAAAATAAAAGGAATTTTTCTAAAGCTGACCTTCCAGTCCTCGGGCATCAACTCCATTCTGGTCACAGAACCGAACGTGAAAACGACAACTCCTTTCTTGGCAGAGTCAACGATCGTTTGGAAGTTCTAAATATGAAAGAGGTATTAATTAACTGCCAAATACCTTTTCCAACGGCTTCGCATCTTCGAATCGCATGCCAAGTCCCCCGATGTTGACGATTTTGTGAAGAGTGGGGCGAGCCATTTCGTAGAGTTCATTGGAGTTCACCATCACAAGTGGGCACTGAAAAAGGGCATAATTAAGCGTTCATGCGATGGAATTAACATATATCACGACTTTACGCACCTGCTTCGACAGCTCATACAAATCCGGGAAGTCCGGTGAGATATGTTTCCGGAATACCTCGGTCTCGGCAGCCGGGACCATCCTAGAATTTGAGAATTAAAAACCTATAGTTCCATTACCTCGGGAAAATTGCCCGGAACAACCATAATCCAATAAAACTCTTCGTTCGCTCATAAAAGTTCATGGCCGAGTGCGATTCCATCAGCATTGCTAAATCAATCTCAATTTTTTTTTGCAGCACAGTGGGCCCCACATACAAAAAGCAACAACTTACGCGGCACGTAGCTAGGAATGATCGGCACTCCCATCTGGTCTGCCACCCAGTCCATCATCTGGCCTGAGTTCAGCCACACCCAAGCTTTGACCTAAAGGCAAACGGTTGACTAATATTTATTGTTCTAATCACTATCATTAATTAATATTGATGGTCAACTACTGCTTTAAAGCTTTACGAACAGTCTGTAATGCCGACTCACCCCGATCACGTGGTTCAAACCGATGCCACAAAAGTCGTACATGTGCGTGTAGACGACATCAAATTTCTCGTCGGCCATCCACTTCAGGAATTCTTTGTTTTGGACGAGCTCTGAAAAACGCCAGGTTGGCAGGGAAAGGTTTTAAGGGACGACGCGAAAGGGTACCAGAAAAACCGTACTTTCGCAATAGCCTGTCATGGCCATCGACATCTTCTTCATCATATTTCGCTGCCTCGAGTCCCACATCGGTATATCCTGGTAGATCATCTTTGCCTGCTCTTTCTCCCAGTCGTCAGCCTTTATTCCTTCGACTAGAGCATCAACGTGTTTCACTAAAAGGTGAAGATTTTTGGTTAAGCCACTTTGTAGGTCTGTGTACTAACAAAAAGTCGAGAGAAAGAGAGAGCGAGAGAGCGAGAGAGGGTGGGCGGAGAGACAAAATACAATGAACAATATACTCATACCTGTAATCCTTGGATCGATGTCCACCTTCGGTTTCTTCTTATCATAGGGTCGCACCATGATCAACGTAACCGAATGGTTACCTTGCAGAAGCGTCTCCGCTACCCGTTTGTTAAATATAACCTAGATAGAAAAAGTGAAGGCTCAAAGAGACCGCAAATTACCTGACTATTCGATACTTCTAGCATAAATATGGCTAATTTCGATGCATAAGCGGTCGAGAGGAGGCATAGGAGAGGAAGAAGTAACCGCATTTTGGGCTAAATATAATCGTTTTCTAGATTGTAAGTTTTTTTAAGTGAAAGAGACAATTAAAAAATGTTTGGTCCGCCGTAAGGTGATGTAATTTGTCTAGCATAGACCATAACTTCAATCTAGCACAAACCCCGCGTTTCCCGGAATGATAAGCGCATGCGCACGCGGGGTCCACGATAAAAAACGTTCAAGGAAGCGACTAGAAAAATACTGATTAAGGGATCAGACTCGCACCAAAATTGGCAGGCTGACGAGTCTTGGTTAACTTAGATCTTACGAGCCATTAAAAATTTTATCAAAGAAAATTTTGTAAAGTCTTTGGCTGCTGCTCAAATGAATTTTGTCTAGAGATCATAAAAGATCAGAAAATTCCGATTTTCTGTAGGAATTTGGTCGTGCCGGGCTCTCTTTCCCCCCAAAGAAAAACAAGAGCACACCCAAGGTAAATAGAGGCAAGATGCCTTCCCAAAGGAGGTCCCATCATTGATCGGAAACGGCGGAAATCCGTGCAAACACTAAAAAAAACAATTTTTTGATTGGCCCAATTTGATAAATGTTGCTTTGTGAACCGGTCTACGCATATTCTTTCAATAAAATTTTTGATACTAAAAGAAAGGAAGCAGCTGTCGTTGGACTGCCGGAAAAGCCGCAAAAACTCTTAAATTGTAATTTTTGTAAACACCAGCGATAGGAGCTTCATCCGTATCTTGGTATTTTTTGGCGAAAATGTTGGTCAATCTAAGAAAAATCTCGGGTTTTTGAAATCCGGAGAGAGCAATTGGAACCGGTTATCCGAGGGTAAGATCTAATTTTAACCCGCCCCTAGCCGGAAGTTCCAAAAGGTTTTTCGCTATAAATTCTTTGTATTACATGATTTTGAGCTGTGATTAAAATTCCTAGCATATTTTCCGGTGTTTACAGAATGGTTTACCCGAAATCCCAAAAAATAGTGGACGTGTCAAAAATTTTTGGGAACTTCCGCCTGTGGGGGGCGGCTGGTGTAGTAAAGTCTAGCCATTTTCGGACAACCTGAACTTCCAAAATTGCTCATTTCATAGGAAAAAATGCAGTAGAGACCCAAAATTTTTAGAATTTCAAAGCTTTGCAGAAGGGCTCAGTAGGCTGAAATTAGCATCCTGAAAAACTCGTTTCGGGCACAAGTAATAATTTTGCAGCGCAAGGTGAGGCGAGTTTGGCTGTGAAAAACGGAGGGAGAAAACGTGATGCGGGTTCACTGTTCTCTCCAAAATGGCATGGCGGCCCCGCGCTATAAAGGGGGAGCAAAGGTGAGGCGGAAAGGGGCGGAGCCTGGGCAGGCCAGGTTGTGACTTGTGCCATTTGCGTGCCTCTAGCTGACCCCGCGCTATCGTCTTTTCATTATTGGCGTGATGTAATTGCACGAAAACGTCGCCAAAGATCAACGATCACTTGATGCAGAATGGCAGTTGCGAAATTATCGCCTTATTAATTGGTATTTTTCCACTTTATTGTTATTCGACATTTCTTTAATATGTATGAACGGAATCGTTTGTGTAGTCTATGCAGATTATTTTTGGATTGAAGAAATTTCTGGGTATGCTTTCGATTTGACAGCGGGTTAACAGAATTTATGCTGGTTTTGGGAAAATAACTAAAAGCGGTTAGAGTGCAGTCCTAAGCCCCCCCCCCCCCCAGCCCTAACTTTTCAACCATACGTCCTATTAATGCGTCGAGTATCTCAAAATGTTCGCCGTGGTCGAATTACTATAAAAAAGTTGTTTTCTTGCGGCAAAAATTGCTAAAAAAATTTTTACAAGATTTTGAAATTTGAAAAGATTAAGCCGCTATGCTTCGATGTACTAGGAGTCTAAAACTCAAATATTTTTATTTTCCGCTATTTTTTTCGGCTCAAACGTACTGTAGGCTTATTCTCCAGAGCAAGAGCTACATTTTGGTACTATTGACAGCTCTGGACGTCAAAAGATAGCCGAGATACGAAAACCCACTTTGGAACAGCAAAAATTAACTAAAGAAAACCCAGACTTATAATTGTTATAAAAATTTTTCTAAAAATTTTTGATGTAAGAAAACAACTTTTTTATAGTAATTCGACCACGGCAAACATTTTGAGATACTCGGCGCATTAATAGGACGTATGGATGAAAAGTTAGGGCTGGGGGGTAAACTGCACTCAAGCCCTAAAAGCCAACTAGCTGGCAAACAATGCACAGGGTTCCCAGAAATACCCGGACACTTTTAAAAACTCTTTTTCTCCAGGTTTTGTTTCTGAATTCTTGGCAAAATTTGCCTACTTTTTGAAAAGCTTTGAAAATAGTGCCGCCGATGTGTTAATTGAAAAAACGAACAGTGATTTTGTTTTGTGTTTTGTGTTGCTCGACTATGTTCCGCATCCTCTTTGCACAAAGCGTTTATTCATATGAAGTCCATGAATGCAAAAAACACGAGCAAAATTCAGTGGTGACTCGAGTATAGGAGACGATTCCGAGGGATTCCGGCCGGTTCTGGGGCTAGCATCTGTTGACCAGGTTCATCTTCGACTCTTTCTAGAATTTTGAATCGACCGAAGGATTAAAACACGTGAGTATACCGAGCAGCTGAAGGTTTGGACGAATTGAGGGATGTTGGCGTACATCTGAAAAGGGAATAGGTAAGGTAAGGGGGGCAAGGACCCACAATGTTGACTCGGAATGGGCCAGGCCTGAAAAAAATAGAAGTAAAATTGCACCAGATATTTAAAAAAAGAAAGAGAGATAGACAGAGAGAGAGCGAGCGCGCAAGAAAGAGAGGGAGAGAGAGAGACACTTCAAAGCTTTTCAACCAACTTTTCTCCCCAGGCCATTTCCAGCCGCCGGCCACAGTATTTCTGAAATTTTTGGTTTTTCTTAGTCCCTTTTCATGCCTTTCCAACCCTGAAACTCGGCTTTAAACCTCACCTGAGCCTGCGCAAGAAAGAAGCGCTGGTGGGGGGCGTATTCTTGAAGCCCCGGCCAACGAGGTGGTTCCCAAACCTGCCGCTCTACCCAGTCATCCATGTAGGTCTGAATTCGGATAAAAGGCGACTGATTGAATGTAAACCTGGAAGGCCACCCTGACCCCCCAGAGGCTAGACAGCACCTCGTTGAGTACCTTCTCGTTGGTCATCTAAAGAGGTGCGATAACTGTTTTAGAAGCTCGGTTTGCACCATCATTTTCTCGTCGAGGAACGCTTTTTGGCCAAATCGGTCGGTAATGCAACCTTGGCGAATACGCAGTTTGGTGCGATCGTCAAGGATTCCTCCTGTAAGCGGGTTCTTTTGATTCTGAGATCGGAGCGAGAGAGAGAGCAAGAAAGAGAAAGAGAGAAAAAGAGAGAAAGGGAAAGAGAGAAACCTTTGGATCCATCGATAGAATGCGCGTACTCGCGCGCGATGACGTCGCCAAGCCCAGCGAATTTCGCCTCCATCGGCCAGTCGTGCTCGAAGAAGGGGGACGTGAAGAAGAAGGAGCCGAGTTCTGAAATAACGTATTGAGAGAAGAGAGAGAGAGAGAGAGGGAGGGAGAGAGAGAGCGGCGCAAAATTTTACCAATAATATGAGCCTCCGGTCTGTATTCTGCCGTCTCACTCGTCGGATCCAACATCAGAGGGGACTCCTCAATTTTTGAATGCCGACTTCGAGGAGTTTAACAAAGCGATACCTTCAACGGCAAATCAATCTGATTCTTGAAGACCTGGTCAATGAACGACTTGTTGGACGTGTAGCCCCCCTAGAAGTTCACTCCTTTGTGCCTTAATTTTCCCTGTTCAGTACCCAATCATAGAATTGCTGCATAAACGTGGCGTTCAGCAGCTCGGCATCACCGCCAATCTTCAGATTCACCGAATCGAGCTGAAGAGAAAGTAAACAAACCTAATCATGGAATTTACCTTGACTTCCATTTCCTCTCGGTCCTTCGCGCCTAGCTGCGCGTGGTTGTTGAGTAGCATGTGGAAGCCGCCGCGTACTTTTTGGGCCAATTCCTGGAAATTTAGGGGAATCGGGTGTGAAAGCGGATGCAGTACCAAAGCTGACGCGTCATTGGATGGATTTCGACGACGGGTGGCAAAGAAATGGGTTAGGAGGTGACGGTAGGAGGCGGTAACCTGGGGCGGAAGCCTTTTCTTAGGAACCAATTTTTTCAAATTTAGCTAGTGTAAGTGTTTTTATACAGGTTTTTACGGTACCGAAACGAGAAAACTTTACAACATTTTATTAAAAAAAGAAAGAACCGTCGTTTTCGACACCGTTTTTGAATTCAAGTCACTTTTTTAAATTTTTATAATTTTAAAAAAGCAAATTAAACCCACCCATCGGACACACGACTCCTCTTGCGTCGTGATCAGCTCCACGGCATCCTGGATTTGCTGAAACCACTCAAGGAAGAAAAAATTTCGAAGCGTCTCCTCCTTCAAGCCAGCAAGCAGAGAGATCGTCTGAAAATGTCATATTTTCTTACAGAAGTTACTTGTCATAGCGGCGGCGGGGGGGTTTCCGATACTACCCCCAACCAGAACCAGGACCATAAAAAGTATGATATAGACTTTACCCCTCTGAGTTTCTCCTCTGAGTCGGCTGTGATCGTAACCTTCGTATCATCATTCAACTCTTTCAACTCCTTATCGCGAAGCCGGAGCGCCATCAATTTCCGGACGTCAATCTAAAGTACGGATGGTTACTAGGGACGTAAAGACCAGTCCCCACCGGAGCAAGAAATGCCTGAAGCTCCCGGAGTAACTTGAGCTGGGAAATTGTGTGCTGTGGCTTCGGCGCGCCTGCTTCATTTTTGTTTTGCGGGAAGTCGTACACTGAGAACATCTGAAAAAAAAACGAAAATGAAGCTTTCAAATGTCTCTATGGAATAGGAATTCCGGTTCTGGTGTGTTGATGGGGGGGGGGGAGCGGCGGATGCCGAGGAACTCCCAAGAACCGGAATTCCAAAATCATTAATCGCCACAATGATACAAACTCCCACATCACCCAGCTTCGTATGCAAGTCGATCAGGTCGTGGATCATCCGGGCCTGCTCCACCTCGCTCTCCTCGCTCGTTTTAATGCCCAAAAATGTCAGCGAGTCACTGCACCACTAGAAAAAAAATAAAGTTAAGCGATTCCGTGCCACTACAACACCTTCCGGACCACTCTTTCCAGTCTTTGCATGTCGGCGCCCAACTTTAGGTAACCGGGAAAATTCTGGAAGGAGTTGGACTAGCGTTTGCGGCTTCGAAAATACGAGGTGAATTGAGGTGGATCCCGCATAAATCCGGTCAAAAAGCGGCATGTATATTTGGGTGGTGAAGGCCGTCATGATGGAGGTGAAACCGGGGGACTTCTGAAAAAAATAGCATTGAGGGTATAAAAACATTAAACCACCATTTCTTTGCCCATATTCAGCATCGGCACCCAGCCAAAGTTGTCGCGCGCATAATTGCGGAATAACCTGAAAAATTTCATAAAACCGGTAAGTGTATTGCCAAAATCATACTCTGTAGTGTCCGTCATCGCCTTGAACCGCTTGCAGCCGTCGTACATCGTGTGGACGGGCTCGAACCGCTTCAGCTCGACGTCGTACGCGTTCCACTCTTCGAGAATGGCTGAAGAAGACGTGAGTTCGGGAGTTAGGCTTAGATTAGGCTTAGGCTTAGGCTTCGGCTTAAGACTTCCTACGACCTTCCGGTCGATTCTTCATGGAAGCGCGCATTTTCCGGAAGATGTCCTCTTGATTCCTCTAAAAAAAATATCGTGTGAAATTGCAGCTTTTGAGCTCCTTACTTACTTTATTGAACCTTCCGCAGGCAAACTCGTGGAAATCCTCGCACGGGTCGGCGTCTGGGTTCATATTTTCGATCTTAAAAAGAAATCAGAGGATTCGCAACTTTTTAGTTAAAATGGCACGGTTATACAAGCAGTATTACGGTAAAAACGACGATACCCTAGTTGGGCTAGACTCTAGTTCCCCCCACCCCCATGCGAGATAGTAGGCCCGGGGGAGAGGGCGCAGGCGAAAGGGGCGCCTGGGGGGGGGGGGGGAGTTAGTTAAACTAGAGTCTTACCCCCCCTAGCTGTCACGAGCCCTTTAATCCAAAAATTCCGACAATTTTCTTACCACAAGAGCGGCCGCTCGCACACAACCCTCCGTGATGCACACACTGTTGTTATTCAGCTAAATTAAACAGAAGCTGTCAATATCCCCTGGAAGGTCAATACTTTGTAGTCTTCCATGTGAAAACATTGGCATACGGTCGGGCATAGCAACGTCAAAAGCCAAAGCGACCGCATGGCACCTAGGGTCAAGAAGGAAATGACACCATTTTAGCCCGAGTGGCTAATGATATTTATGCTAATTGAAACGATTTCGATTTCGAAGCAAAACGGATTTTCGAAAGATTACTAATTACGCAAGATACAACAGCATACAATTTGTACTGGTTGCACCCCGAGTCATTATGCACTTTCTGATGTCTCGGATCACAGCTGTTCAGACTTCATTACGAAAAACACCTGGCAACGCCTTCAGCCTCCCCCTTCTAAATCATCCCCAAAACATTAGATACCACTGTAAATGGCTAGCAACGACAATATGTATCTGTTTTACCCTACGGGCCAGGCTGAAATATGGATCATCACGCTCTATTATTGTTTCTGGATCCTTGGAATATCCACCTTCAGTCTTACTGTGTATTTTATACTCAATGGAAAGGCGCATTTGACGAAAGAATACAAAATTGCGCAGTTGAATTTGTTGGTGAGCTTTGTGAATTGAAGAATAGAAACTTGGGCAAACTAACAGAGATTCTTTAGCCAGTGAGCAATGCAAGCCTAGAGGATTTCTGGCTGTCGATTCCCATTCGGTTTTGCCGCAGTCGCGACACGCAACGCAATGCTTGTCTGGATCGGTTTCTTTGAAAACTAAAAAAAATATATAAAAGTGCATGGAAAATCAAAAATTGGGCTTATGTTGGGAAGATTGGCAGCTAGCGCGTTTTTTTAGAAATTTAGAATGTTTTTGTGCCAAAATGTACCACATAAAAAAGGAAAACGACCAAATTTGCGTAAGGCAAACCAACAGATATTTTGTGCCGAACCCAACCAGCCATTTTCCCAGATAGCTGCCGAGCTCACCGACACCTCCCTGGCCATCTACAAACCCATCGTCTACCCGCCATACACGGCTGGCAAAGTTTTGGGTATATTCGAGCTCAACAACTTTGAGCTCCACCTGCTGTTGTGGGTCTTCAACGTCAGCAAAGAAGTATCGTAATCTTTCAGAGTCTCTACATCAGCAATACGTAACCGAACGCACCGATGATTACGTATTGCTCTCATTAAATCTAATGAGAATTTTGGTAGAGGGTTCAAATGATCCATTCTTTATACCCTGACCCTTCATGCCAA